CCACTCCTCCCAGTTCATATACTGGGCATGACGTCACATGGTATGGAATATCCCTTTGGCCAGTTTGGGTCAGCTGGCCTGGCTGTGTCCTCTGCCAACTGCTTCTGCCCCTCCAGTCTTCTTGCTGGCTGGGCATGAGAAGCTGAAAAATCCTTGACTTGGTATAGACATTACTGAGCAACAACTGAAAAACATCAGTCTTATCAACATTCTTCTCATACTGAACCCAAAACATAGCACTATACCAGCTACTAGAAAGAAAATTAACTCTATCCCAGCTGAAACCAGGACACAAAACAAAATCAGAAAGTTCCTAGAAATTATGGTACTTCTTTCAGGACCAGTAGTGCTAAATCAACTACAACGCACAGTTACAGTTTAAGAGATGGTGGGATCTAAAAATTCACTCTCATGCTGGTCGATATTCTTAGACATTTGTGGACTTACACCTACAAATGTGCAAGTCTACAGTTGTAACATGAACCCAGTTCTCTTCTCATTCATCCAAATAAACATGAGAGGGGAAAACCGAGTACATGATATACTAGCGTATGGTATGTGCTTTCCAAAAGCAAACCAAAGCTAGTTGCTCTAGGCACTTTGACATGTATGAATATAGTGTACTTCCTACTCTAAGTCCTTAACTCAAGGATCTGTATTATACGGCCACCTACAGTAACCAGGTCATCAGTGAACTTGAGAGATAAAAGCAGCATTTCTTCATAGAAAATTGGAGGTTTGGGTTTTGCAAAAGATTATTTACAATATAATCAGCTTCTGACAGTCAAATTAATTCCAGTTTTGTTTTTTATATGTTGCAATGAAAAACGTCAGGTAACTTTCAAGCTAAATTTAAATACCACGTTTCACTTATGAGGAAACATCATCTGAATAAACAGATGGTGTTGCTATGGGGTTGCCATCATTAGTAGAAGGTGTAGAAGCACGTATTTGACTCTGAAAATGGCAGATACAAAGGACAAGAATATGATATGTAATATTGGGCATTTTCGGAAGCAAAACCATGGTTACACTAAATCTTAGTTTGCTTCATTCCTCCACTCAATAACATCGTTTTACTGTGAGCATTGCTTGAATTCCTGAGAACTAAAATAAGAACTGAATCTTGCTAACTGATTCTCAAATAATTTCATGAGTATTTGCATTCCTAGCTCCTTTGCTTCCTCCCCTGAAATCCCTGGAAAAGTGAATGTACAATTTTGGTTACTTCAGCAAACCATTCATGTAGCTGGGAATCTATTGAAAAGAGACTGTCATGCTATTTCAGGAATATGAATGCCACTAGCCAGCTAATGTATTTAGCCTATGTTATTTAGATGTTATTTAAACAGCTAGTATGGAAGAATAAAAAAAAAAAGCTATGAAAATAAAGAAACCAAGTATTCCAGTTCATCCAAAGATGCGCAAATAGAAGGACTGTAAAGATGTTTATGATACATCATTACTTGTATTAGGAGTTGAACTTGACTAAAAATGGACATCACACTAGGAGAGAGGCACTGTCTTACTTCCAAGAATTGCTTTAAAACTGCAACAGCTAGAAATTTTCCAAACCAAAACAAAATTTTCATCTGCTTAAGCACTCAAACAAATAACATTTCAAGTTCCAAATCAGTACCAAGAGGGCATGAAAATGTACTCATGGACAATGTTTCATCAGCTGGTTATATAAGTTAATCATAATTCAAGAATACTGAATATAATTTTGACACTATACTTGTGGATTACTTTGAGATTTAAAAAGTGATTGGTTAGATTTCATTTTGACCTTGCTTGTGTTTCACTCATGTACACGTAGAAAAATAACAACCATTACCAATCAGTTCAGCAACACTTAAAAGAGCATTTCTGAGCAAAACTAATTCTGATATGCAGAAAGGACTGTGAGTATTATTTACTTCAGAATTTCTCAGTGTACTAATACAAGGATGGACCTGCAGGAAAAGGCTTAAGCTCCCTTGAAAACCTTACCACTAACATGCCACTGCACTACAAAGTCTAGCTAAGTCAGATCAGTTGCTAGGAAAGATTAAAATACAGCAAACAGGAAAATCCCATTACTGACATAATGTTCATATAGGATTTTATGTACAAACATCACTGAGGCAACAGGAGTATGGAAGTACTCAGCAAAACGAGGGCACAAAAGAAGAACCGTAACAAGTTAAACTCAATAAAAACCAGACCATAAAAATATCAATGGGAACCATCTTCCAAGTGTAATACAGTAAAATAAGAATATGAAAGGTCATGTATTACATTGGACAAAGGTGAATATGCTTTCTTTGTTAACAACAAATATATATAGTAAGGAAACTTACCTACCTTCCTATAGACATCACACAAATTACTCTTCAAAAACTTAAATTCTGAGATTTTTTTGCTGTCGTGACAAGCCTGGTTTTGATCTGGAGCAGGAGTTTCTATGCATTACAACTGGAGAAGTTTCTTTCTGTGTTTACTAAACATCTGGCACTAATGGCAAAGCAGATTAGATGTTTTTGTTTCAGTACCCAGTATCATAACCTTTGGAACAGCTATTTCCACTTTCAAGGGTATTTCCTTTATAAGGCACAACTGTTAGATTTACATGCACTATCTATTCACCTGAGGTAGAAGGTATCATAATAAAACATTCCAATTTGGAAGTAAAAAGGACTTGGCTTAGTTCTTATCCTCACACATCTAAGGTCCCTGGGTGGAACAAATCCCCAAACCAAGTTGCTGGCCAAATCTGTTTCCATATCTTCTTTCACATTGTTTTGTAGAATTATGAGCACCCCCGTGCCCTCCTTCCTTCAAAGTGAGATGTAACTGCATTTTATTTGCATTATACCTGGCAGTGATCATAAAGCTTTTATACTTTAATGATAATGAAAAGAGTGCAAGCATAGATAGCTGCATGTACATAGAACCTTCTTGCCAGATATAAAGCCAGTATTCTCTATACAGAAGCACTATTATAGCATCTTTTTAAGCCACAGGTATTACAATGGAGACCAAGTAGCACAATCATTAATTTCAATTATATCATTGTGCCTAGCATGCAGATATCTTTCCAACACCTCCAGATCATTACCACTAACCACAGATTAGCACCCATGACATTTTATCCAAAAAATTAAGCACACAAACAGCTTCAGTCTACCTGCAAAAACAAAGCCATCCAGAAAATTATAAATAATCTGAATGAAATGTTAGATCTGTAATAATGAATTGTAAATAGCAAGTTATTGTAATGGTTATAAACTACCTCAGAGCATTCAGACAGGAGTTGGTTTGTGAACAGTTTTTATAATTCTTTCAGCAACGAAAGAAGCGGCACCCTAGAAAAAGCAGCCTAACTTCAGAAGCCAAATTAATGAATGCATACAAATTGAGATTCCTCCCCACTCCTCTCAGAGGCAACACTTCCTGCTCTCACAATTTTATCATGACTCACTATTTTTAGTGCTTTTCTTAAGAGTCTCTGCTGCTGGAATCACGCCTGAGAGTCTTAGCATTAATTTTAAAAGAAAAGATTTCCATTCCCCTGCATCCTGAGAAAAGCTTTAAAGTGTGAAACCAGTGCAGCCTACAGGCTAAAAAACTAGAAAGAATACAAGAAAATCAGGGTGGGTTTGGTTTTGTTTTAAAGAAACCTCATGATTTCTAAGCTGATTCCTTGAGTGGGAGGACCTAGATAATGCATCGACTCCTCATAGCTTACTGTCCACTGGAATCTCTCCAGAGCAGATGTAAGGCACATCAGCAGTTTTACGTGGAAAAAAATATACAATGCCACTTTCACTGCTCTTTCTATTTAGTGGATATTCTTCAAAGTGCTAATCCAGCTTCTCTTAAAAATCATACTGTTAAAGAGAACATTTGACCTTTTGAACTAAGAATGAATATTATTTTGTGCACAAACTACTTTTTGTTTACAACAAGATAATTTTCTTTTTCTTCTCTGACAAGCTAACTCTTCTGCAACTAAGAGCACCTTCTGTGAGAAGATAAAACTAAGAGTTATGTTACCTGCAAGAAAGGTGTAAACACATGTTAAGGAATATAACATCAGGCTTCCTTAGAGGAAAGATGATGCTTTTACATTCACCTTAACATAGCTACTTGCTTTTAATTATACATGCAGTTGGAATTTGAAAGAGAAAATTAAATAGATTACATGCTTTTATCATATTCTATGATTGAGCAGCTTTTTAAAAAAGCTACCACTAGATGGTGCAACAGCTTAAATAATTCATAAATCTACAGCACTTTCCCCTGCAACTTCCTTCCCTGCCCCCAACAAAGTGAGCTCAGCAACAGCAAGAGACAACACACAACTGGGAAACAAACTTATCTTCTATAATTTGTATTTGTCAAAGTAGCAGTCAAAACTAGCTTTCCCCTTGACATAATAATTCGCTCCCTTCTTTGGCATTTCTTTTAAACAGGAAGGAACAACAGTTGCTCATCTGAGGGAAAACTGAACGGTAACGAAATCGCTATGACTCCCTATGGCTCTCTGACTAAGAGCTACAGGAGGAGGGAAGTGAGCGACCACTGCAGATCAGGGTAGACAGAATGCTATTCTTAGATTTGAGAAACACAAATTCAGCTCCCTCTTCTGCTGGACGGACTAACTCAGCAAACCCAAAAGCAAGTCTCTTAACCTCACTGCACCTCCGTTCTCACCTGGAAGTAAAAATTATGGAGCTGTTTGTTAGTACTTGCAACCTCAGATAGACGCTGAAAGGACAAATACACTTTAAAATTATGCCATATTCCAGAACCGTGAAGTATTTATTTAATGTATGAGAGGCATGTAACAGCTTTGGCATTCACTTTCCTTGGCCTACAGTACTCCAAACAGATGCATTTTGATTAGTTTTAAAATGAGCTATGATGACTTTCAGAAGTCTCTTACCTGCTACTGCAGGAGATCAGACCCAGTTACTCAGGAAATGCTTCTACTGTGCCCTTTCCCCTTCTTTTAGGGCCTATGATTTCGTCTCCTGAAGCTCTGGATTTTGAAGAAAGCCTGGTCGGTCAAGTGTATTACTATGCAGCTAAAATGGTTAGTTATGCCTATCCTGGTGGTCAAGTATATCTGGATTTTTATTTTAGCAATTTAAACATTTATCAAGAGTGCCAGGAACCATTTATTACAAATGAAGTTAAACTGATAAATAAAATGAAATGTCTTCTGCAGTTCTAGATGCATAGCATAAGAAGTTCTGAGTTTACTTTGTTCACAACCAGCAGAACTAGAAGCCTGAAGTGTATGTTATCCCAAACCACGTTTTTTAACGATCATCAGTAAACAGATTATAACCAAAGTTCTAAGTAATGTACATTTAAGCCTGTAAGAAAAAGGAAAGTGCTCGGTAGGTAACATTAGAAGTAAGTCATGTAGACAAGGTAAATTTTCTATCAGCTAGTAGACGTCAAACAGACTATTTAATTAATCAGGTATGTGAGATAACACAGAGAAAGCACACACCTTCATTTTACAGTGACGAAACCTCCACCCAGCCATAGCTACCCTCCACATGAACATTAGGGGAAAAAAAAGGGGAAAAAAATGCTGACTAACACATACACCTATGAAATAGACCAGGAACTGCTACAGGAACTATGCGAAATCCCCCACAGCACATGCAACTGGGAAGAAGAACACTAGGTTAGAAAACAGGTTTGAAAAATAAAGGAGACTGCATCTAATACATTAACAACTAAAACCTGAAAACCAAGATAACTGAGGAGACTCTTCCCACTTTGGATGCATCATGGGATAAAAATTCCCCCAGTGGATGACAGGACCTCCCATAAGCTAAGCTAAAACTTTGGTGGAAGTATCATCAGGGTGCTCACATGGGATGGAAGAGATTCAAGTTGTGGCTTTCACTACAGGAAAGAACATTTCTTGGATATACACAATACATTTGGCTGTTAAGCCTTTTACTGCGCTGAACACATTTACTCTGCTTTAAAAAAAAAAAATCAGTCATCAAGTCTATAACTCTTTGCCAGATTGTCAAAGGGAAATGGAACTGGCAACCTCAGAAAGGTACCACAGGATTTATCAGGAATTAAACTGCTCAAAAGGGATAGCAAGTATGCCCTTTTCCCCCTGCGCTGCACTAAACAGAAGTGTGTAATAAATATATCAACAATATAAACAACATACATGAATATAGCTGCAAAGAGATAGAATGAAGTCCAACAATAATCCAGTAGCTTGATTATCGATGGGGGAAAATGAATAATAATAATAATTCAGTTACAGTCAATTCCTTTTTCATACCATATAAATTATACAATGGAGTAATGCAGCTATATAGTTACCAAATAGCTTCACTGTATGAAATTTAGAAATAGTGATGTAGCCTCTTTTAGTCGGTACTCTTCCATAGGAAGCAGAACAAAATCTCTTTTTCATTTAAGGATGACCAGAAAACAATACAAATAAATATTGAGGGCACATCTACACTACAAGGCCTTTACTAGCATAGCAAGTGATCTATGTCACTACTATGATATAAAGAATGGCCTATATCACTACATCAGAATAGCTGTTGGCCAACCCCTGTACTGAGAGGCAGTTTATCCCAAAATGAACTATTATGCCACCTCCTTAAGTACCATAAGGAGAGCTGATCTAATCACATACTTCTATGCTGGCAAAATTATGTTTGTATTGGCAGGTTTGCTAAGATGGGGACTTTGCCAGGCCAAGCCTAAACTTAAGTTCACACAAATGCAACTACTCACTATGGTTCACAAAGTGCCACCTTCAATATCTTCATCCCAAAGTACTGCTAGGGCACCTCCCTAGCTCAGTACACTTCACTTCCTCTGAGATGGAGGATGAAGCCATTTCAGCAAGATCTGTCCTTTGTAAGATGGTATATACTCCTAACATCTAAATTGGATGACAATCCCATTCTACTTACTCCCTTTTCCCTTCCTAACAAAGCTCCTGCCACTTGGTTGCTGAATTTGGCCTCCATCCTTAGTTCTAATGCTGCTGCACACATGGCAATATATTCTCACTGCAGACAGGGCCACTACACAGAGCAGGGGACCATTTGAAGAGAAACAAGGAACAGGGGACTCCAGAACACTCTGAATTGCAGCCTCAGCTAACCCCTACATCTGCTGTGGGAAAGTTGTCTTTGTTGCCCTGTGAGCATGACTGCTAGCAGTTCTCTTTTGAGGGCAGGTGGTTAGTTTCAAGATCAGCCTCCAATTGACAGAATTTTAGCTTAACTGCCCCACCACAGGCAGGATGACACTTATGGCCATTCTGGACAGCAGCAGGGATCCAGGTGTGACCCAGTCTTGCAATCTAAGTGAAGCTGTATCAGAAAGCATTTCATGACCCGCACCCCAGGGTCAACCCACAAGGAATTACATACAGCACATTGGAACAAATAGACATCAGCACTTGGCTTCTAGTGGAGGAAGACACCCACCCACCCCCCATCCTCGCAGCACGCATAGGATAGCAGGACAAATAGTTGTCATCTTCATTTTAAATAAGCCACTCCTGAGAAATCTGCTGGCTGATATGCAGCTGTCACAAAAGCAAACAAGGAAACTGGATGAGAGATGCAATTTCCATGGGAGTCTGTGCTTTGCATAAGACTGAAAAGAATGAAGAGGGGTCATAATAGAGACTACAAGGGGTTCTGAAGGAGACAGAATTTGAAAGCCTGTATTGTGTATCTAGTGTTCTGATTAAGGTCATAGGTCCTAGTCAGGGAAGATATTACTGCACATTTTTTCAACAGATCTCTTACATTTGCAGACCTGATCCCTCTGGGTGCCCAAGAATATTCATGACCCAAAATGCCAATTAAATGAGGAAGATTACCTTTATGATTAAGGCTTAGGTACTCACACAGCACCTCATACTGTAAAAGAGATTACATAGTGAAAATATTTAACTTCAGAAAAGCCCTGTGAGACATGGAAGATCAGTTCCACAAAAGGAATATAAAAATGTATCAAAAAATTAAATTGCATTGCTTTTCACTGTGGCAAAGTCTGCCACTAAACGTGAAATTGAATCTTACTCTCCAAAGTCCCAGGCTAGCACTCTGAACATCCTTGTCTTCTCTGAGGCAGAAATAGTCTCTTTTCTTTTTGCTTACCTTATCTCTTTATTGTTAGAGAGTAATAGCACTGGAAGAATACCAAAATATATGTACAGATTGTACTCGAGCTGCACCTTTTCTCGAAATATTAGCTTCCAGATTAGTATTCTGTGAAATCTGTAGGATACCTAACTGAAAGATGGCATGACCAAAATTTATGTCAGTCACTAATTAGGATAGAGCAAGGTCAGGCAATATAGCTATAAAAAGAAATCTAAAAAGCTTTTTCTCTATTACCTGAAAAATATACAACTTTTAGACTGTTAGAAGTTCAGACTTTAGCCCAGTATATGTGCACACTTGTGTTTTACTGGTCATAAATGTGGACTTGTAACTGCTATCTAGACAGACATCAGAAGAGGTAACTGAAAAGCTTCCCCTATGTCTCCCCACACACACACTTTTTTTTTTCCTTTTTAATCCAGAGTTTTCTATTTTCTAATAAGGAGCACCACAAAGTATAAGAAAAGATGGAAAGAACTGAAGGAAAGTGTAATCTGTCTGAAAAATAACTTCATTTTAGTTATTCTAATAACTTTAAAAGTGAGATTTTCTAAGTAAGTATAAGCATGAACTGATGCGCTTATATGAAAGAAAGCATTTCTAGTGTATTTCTTTCTGGAGTTCAGTTAAATACTTGTGAGAGAAAGCATGTGGAATGCAGAGAAAAAAACAGTCTGTTGTTCCTGTCCCTCCCCTGCAAAAAAATGCTTATGTGACTGTTACTTCCAGGCCGCTGAAATAATCTGATACAGATAAGTGAGTATATGAAGAATATAGTCTGCAGCTGCTGGCTGGCTTGTTCATCAAGTTGAAATCTTGACTCCTTTTCTGGTATGACTGCCATCATTATAGTCATCCCTTCCACTGCTAGCATAGACAAGAGAACATGGAACGATCAGATCTACCCTTACTTTAACCAACAGGTTGGTGGGCTTATTTCATCCAGATAAGTGCTGTGCTAAAAGCTATGGCATTCTTTGGGGGGGGGGGGGGGGGAAAGAGAGAGAGGCATTAAGTTATTCTTGCATTACTAAGCAGGCACTTGCCCAAGAACATTGTATTCCTATATTTTAAAAACACAAAACTCGTTCTGTAGTAATTTGTGATTCTGAAAGGTGACAAAAACTAATTAACTTTGTCTACTCATTTCACAGAATGAATTGGAAATCTGCAAGAGAAAATACACCTGGTTTTGCTTGAACCACATGTATATGACCAACAATAGTTTTTAACTTAAAAAGATAAAGTTAGTCAGATTACTTTGTGATTCAATTCAAAAACAGTGCTGCACAAAGCAAATAAATCCACCCAGAACCTGTAATGTTTGAGAAGAGTTTTGACACAAAGTTGTTCTTCCTTTCTAACCAGCAGTACTGGTCTTGGTGATTATTTTAGTGAGGGATTATTTATTTTTCCCCTCAAAGAAAATAACATCCTTTTCCTTTTGTCTCCATTAGAACTAACTCATAAACTCAGAAATTACCCCACACTAAAAGGAATCTAGAGTCCTGTGTCTCAGTAGGATAGAGATTTGGACAGACAGGAGTCTGTGTATACAGAAAACAGTCATACTTAGCTGAGGAAGAATATTCAAGGATATAGACTGAGAACACAAAAGTTAACAGGCAATGCGCTATACATAACTTCAGTGTTAGAGGCAGTGTCTAGTTCAAGTATTCACTGCGAGACAGAATGGGATTTGTTGGCTGTGGATGAAAGTTCTCTCTCATAATACTTTTGTGCTGACGCTACTCAACAGCATATTGGAAGCCCCTTACAGGCTACAAAGGAACATACCGAATAACTAGATTACATTTATATTAACTAATAAGACACATACAGCTTTTTCACCATAAAAGAGTGTAATACTATTGACTATCACATCTGACACTGCTCAGAAGAGGCGTATTAT